ACTGCCTCAACCTTCTCTGGGTCAACCAACACTCCCGAAGTCGATACCATGTGTCCCAAAAACTTTACCTCCGTAAGTTAAAATTCACATTTGTTGAACTTGGCGTACAACGGTAGTCTCACAAGGTCTGGAGAACAACCCTTAAGTGACCCTCATGCTCCTTTTCAGACTTGGAGTAGATCAGTATGTCATCAACAAAGACCATAGCGAACTGATCTAGGTAGGGCTGAAACACTCGATGCATAAGATCCATGAATGCCGCCGGGGCATTCGTCAAACCGAATAGCATCACAATAAACTAAAAATACCCATATCGCATTCGAAATGCCGTCTTTGGAATGTCGGCATCCCTAATCCTCAACTGATGGTACTCCGTGCGCAGATCTATCTTGGAGTAGACCCATGCCCCTCTCAACTGGTCAAACAAGTCATTAATACGCGGCAAAGGGTACCTATTCTTGATAGTGACATGTTCAACTGCCGGTAGTCAATGCCCCAAGGTGAAGTACTCGGCCTAATAAAGCCTCTGTCCAATAACTCTTGTAACTGGACTTTAAGTTCCTGTAATTCCACTGGTGCCATCCTATGTGGTGTCATAGAAATAGGGGACGCAGCGGGCTGTAACTCTATGGTGAAGTCTACATCCCGATGCGATGGCAATCCTGAAAACTCATCTAGAAAAATGTCTGCATAGTCACACACGACTCAAGGCAGACCCAACTCATGTCTCACCTCGTCCTCTAGTGTAAGGCTAGCAAGCCAACCTATCAACTGTTCGTGCCATCGGTAGTCATATACGACATGGGGTAAAGTATTGTGTTTCTGAAACTTGAAATAAACCCCGTCTGAAGTGTAGACTGTAACCTTCTTGCGCTCGCAATCAATGACGACCTTATGTGCCGCCAACCAATCCATCCCGAGTATGACATCAAACTTTCTCATCTCGATAACCCTAAGATCAACGGTAAGTAGGGTTCCTTCGATCTCCAACTCATAACCTTGACATATCTTGTCAATACAAACTCTGTCTCATAGGGGTGAACTCACATACATGGGCTCCTCTAGAGTCTCGACCTCTAAGCCCAAGTCTCGTAGGCATGATGTAGCAATAAAAGAATATGATGCACCAGAATCAAATAATACTCTAGTCTATAATCTAGAGAGAAGAAATGTACCCTGAATTATCAACTAATTTACTGGTAAAGTCTGTGGTGTGATGGCGAAGACTCGCCCTTGGGTCCCTAAAGTCCATGCCTGAAAGCCTTGACCCAGGCCTTGGCCCATCTGGCCTGACTGCCCGGTCGCTGTGCTGCACTCTGAAATTGGAACTAATTTTCCTAGCCCTTGGTGGGATAAGAAGGAATGAAGTAGGTCTGTGGATACCCCACTGATGACTGAGACTAAGATGCCCTGTAGGTCTGAGATCCTTGCCTCTAAGGACACTCTCTCTTTAAGTGGCCTGGTTGGTGGCAATAGTGACATGTCCATGGGCCTCCTTGTTGTGTGCCCCTAGAATTTCTCCTGCCTTGGAAAGATTGACCATGGCCTTGGCATTGGCCCTGTCCCTGTGATCCTTATGACATAGAAATTCTCTGTCTTTTTCCCGAGCTAGTAGTGGAGGACTGTCCCTCCTTCTTCCTGTCCTTTGATCCGGCCTCTCGAATACTCTTGGCGTCTTCCATCTCTCTCTCTCTATAGCCATGACTATCTCGACCATCTCATCTAAGTCGTGCAACCTGTGGCCAACAATCTTCCCACGGATGGATAGCTTTAGGCCATTCTCAAACCTCCGTACCTTGGCCACGTAGTCATCTGTAAAACGTGCCAATTTTGTGAATTTGGTCGCGTACTGCATAATCGTCTTCGTTCCTTGCTTTAAGTTTAGAAATTCCTAGACTTTGACTTCCCGAACAACTAGTGGAAAATACTTCTTCATGAAGAGCTCTTGAAACTCTCCCCATGTCATCCTCCCGATGTCTATCGACTTTGCCCATGTCCACTATTGATGGACTTCTCCCTCAAACTGAAAAGTGGTCAGCCGTATCTTAGTGGCATCGGATGCAATCTCCATTGCCTCTAAAATTTTGTCCACCTGTTGGAACAAATGGTCAGCTATCACCGGATCCCCTCATTCTACAAAAGTTGGTGGGTTATGGGACTTCTGGAGGTTGTTTGAGCCTCCTTGGCCCACATTGGCATTGGCTTGCAAAAAAGTGGCAGCCATCATACCCATAGCCTCCATAAAGGCTTGTTGATCAAAAGCTGGTGGTGGTGGTTGGTTGTTTCGTCCACCCCGACGTCCCCTTCCTCTAGTTGCAATCTACATACACATAAAATAGCAATAGACCAATAACATAGTATCCCAAAGTTATGGATCAAAATTAAACAGTAGAATATATACCTACCGGCAGATACTCAAACAGTAGGCTTACACATCTTTTCCCTTCCTGACTCTAAGGTTATGTTTTCCAACCGTAGTATTTTATTCCTATATACATTTAATCATACATATAATCTCATAACACATAGCATGTAACATTTAATACATTTAACATACAATGCAAAATGGATGCAATGGCCTAGACCCATGTCTTGCAAGCCATAGGTAAATCGAGAACCTAGGCTCTGATACCAAGCTGTGACACTCCAAAAATCAGGTGTCAGTAATTACTCGATTGATCATCTATCAACTGTGGAATACCCGTGGATACCATGTAATTCGATACCACGCCGTTATGCCCCATTTACCGAGATTCATAACTTAACAAAATTTGGGCAGAGTCTCCTTTGTATGAGGAGTTTTACCCAAAACGCAACCTGTATAACATTGACCATACCGGGTCTATCCATCCATTCACAATTGTATAGTATCGAATACTATCATAATCATCATCATTACGTACATTCATTCATAAAAGAATAAATGTCTCAAAAGAGTTCCTTATACATGCCTTTTAAATATAAACAAGTTTTTGTTACAAAAATTACACAAGACCAAAAATAATTATAAACAAGGGACTACGATGTCAAAAGAAGAGCCATAGACCGACTCTGTCGTCAAAGCGGGCCCATGGCCTCGCCTTCAGTGGACGCTTGTGCAATACCTGAAAAATGTTCCCATAAAGGGTAAGCTAATGCTCAATAGGGTAACTCCTATAGAGAATACCTCTCAACTTAAATGTATATGAAATGTCACATACAACAATCATTCCATACAATCATTCAAATATGTCTATTATGAACAAATGTCATAAATCATGTCATGTCATAAGATGACACTCACGAAAATAATACCAACACTGAACCCCATCCTGAGCTCCTACAACACATGCAATGTCATGCGTATGTATCCGAGCATTTCAAGCCCCCGTCATTGGAGTTATGTACATTCAATGACTAATTAATTAATTTTCTTGTGTCTTTGTGAGGAGATGATTTATAGTATTATATCAATGGGATACCAACCATCAACGAATTTTTAGGACATCTCACCTGCGGTTTCGTTTTGGCCGTTACACTTTTCTGAAATTTAATCACCGAAAAGTGTATAAACCAAGTAAGTGGGTCTTGCACCCGAGGGAGAATTTAACCCTTCTTGCTATCTTCAACACGTTTATCCATTTAATTTTTCGTGTGAGTCAGCCGGACCTTGGTGCGACTTTTCTGAGCCTACAATCAACCGCCTATGTGGTGATTGATTTCATCCCATGCACACACTCCCACTCATGTCAATGCCCATGGATATAATGTAACTCATGCATAATGACATTTTAATGTGCAATTGTCTTTGGTACCATTTACAATGTCCATTATATAAAGAATACAATATAATGATATTTTCAACATGATAACATGTTTATCAATTCTATAAACATAAACACAAGTCCACCACAATAATTATATGCTAAATAATCATTTAACATACATATTATTCCATAATCACATAACAAGCTAATAATTTTATTAAACTTGATATGTCATTTAACACATAAAATAATGCTAATGGACAATTAACATGCTTTAAACCACTAACATTAACTTACGCCAAGTTAATCATAATAGAAATTTTCTAATTACAAAGTTAATTATAAATCATATATTTGATCCACTAGTTACACTAGTCAAGACCTAACATGTGATATACACCCATAGCCTACCCATTTCATATGTCATATTTTAGGTTGAAAGTAAATCTAAATAGAGGAAACCCTACTTTTCGTAGCGTGAGCCCACGTATTGGAATTTCGAGAAAGCCTAATTTAACTTCCCAAACTTTAGATCTAGATTATCGTTTTTGATATTCTTTAGGAGAAAAATACGATATTTGATGTGGTTGCGTAGCTCTCCCTAAGTAGAGTAACTTTAATTCTTGGTTCGAAGCGATTAAACGATTCAATTTTCGTAGATTTGAAGAAGAAGAAAAAAGGAAAATAAAGAAAAAAAAAAACTCTCTTCTCCCTCTCACTCACTCGGCAGCGGACCGGAGGAAGAAAAAGTGGAAGGCTAAAGTCTTCCACACTTATATATATATAATATAGTATAAATTTATAGTTTAAAAATTTACGTTTTTGACCCTTATATTTACAATTAATTATTATTTTTTCCCTTTAATTAAAATTTTTAATAATAATAATAATAATTTTTTTTTTCCGAATTTTATAGTGATCACAGCTTTAAAGCCTTTCCTACATTTTTAAGTCCCTCTAGGAGACAGGAGTCACATGCAGATACCAGGATCGAACCCAGATTACTTAGAAGCTTGGAGGTTTCATTTGTAAGCAGTTATATGGATTTTGCTTTAGTTACTTCTAAATATCATATCTAAAGTTCCGACAATCAGTTCACGTGACAACTCAAAAGACACAAGTTACAGCAAAAAGGCACAAGTTACAGCTCATTTGAATTAATTTTGGTACTCAACTTTTTTAGGAAGACAATAGACTGCTTACATACACATGATAAAGTTCATAAGACAGTGATGAGCCATTACCTTTTCATGGTTATATTTGAATTCCTCTTCTCCCTCGTATGTTTTCAGTTCCCATTAATTTGTTCTTGATGTTCAGCAAATTGGCTACAATTTCACTGGTGTCCAATCGTTCACTTGGACTTTCTTCTGAACATGCGATTCCAACTCCAAAGACAGAAATCAAGCACTCCCGAATCTTGTAACTATTAGCATGGCTCTGATCATGAGGTTGGGGATTTGTTCTCATCTCCCCCTCTTCTCCAAGTAGAAGAAGCCTTGGTTCAGAAACATCTGCTACTCTTTCTGGCAACGCCATCCTAATATAATTATGAAGGTTTAAACTATCATCAAACATCTCATCAGTGGGTCTCTTTCCTGCAAACATTTCCAACAATAGGATGCCATAGCTGTACACATCCCCATGAGTCGATGCCTCACTCCCCATGCCATATTCTGAAATTCAAATTTGACAATGAAAAAAATAAATAGGAAAGAAAGAATATCAAATAGTAGCTCAATAACATGCAAGTACTCTATATTATAAAACCGGATAGACATTGCAACTTAAAACTAGTGTTACTAGCACTTGCAGCCACATTTGGCAGATGTGCATTGGGGATTTTATTTTCAAAAAAAGTAGTATTACCAGTTTTCCTTTTGATTTTCCACCTAGTGTAGTAATTGTTAAATTCTTTAATAGAAGCATTAAGTTATTAAGGTCTCTAATAGACTTATGTTTTTAGACAGAAAAATCGCAAGCGTAAATCATTGATATAACAATGTGCACTTATGGAATGAACAAAGAATAAACTAATTACCAAATCAATGAAATGGAAATGGAGAGGTCTATCCGAAAGCCCAATTCATATATCATATTAAACATCTAACTCAAACCCAATTGACATTGAACAAAGTGGGCATACTTTTTTGATTTGTACTTCACATAGGGAAAAGTATTCAAAAAGGCAGAGGAGATACAACAAAGATCAAGCCAAAGTAGGGGTATAATCAGCAATAACTATTAGAAGATTAGCCCGTGAGTTACTTGAATTATCAAAAAAGAGCTGAGCACATACCTTTGTTTTTTTTTTTTGTTGGAGGGGTGGGGGTGGGGGGTAGGGGTTTTCAAGATGAATGAAAATAACGAAAGAAGATATTTACCTGGTGCAACATAGCCAATGGATCCTTTTAGTCCAATAGAACTATAATTCACAGAGCAAGCATTTAGACGAAATTGTGCTAAGCCAAAGTCACCAACATGTGCAGTCATCTCATTGTTTAGAAGAATGTTGCTTGGCTTCAAATCACAGTGAATTATTGGACTCTGGCAGTCATGGTGAAGATAATTTAGGGCAGAAGCAACATCTATGGCAATATTTAATCTCTGAAATAGACTTAACTTCATGGGTTCCTCGTTTGCCTCATATTCTTGTTGAATTGGATACAACCACTCTTCTAGGTTCCCATTGGACATGAACTCATAAACCAATGCCTTGAAATCATTCCCTTGGTAATCAACACCCGAACAAGCAGTGACTACCTTAACAAGATTTCGATGCCTAATGTTCCTCAAGGCCTCACACTCAGCAATAAAACTCCTGAAAGCCCCTTGGCGCGAAAGGTTAAGTACCTTTACGGCAACAACAGTACCATCATCCTGATCAAGAACTCCTTTATACACAGAACCAAAACTTCCTGCACCCATTAAATTTTCTAAAGAAAATCCATTAGTAGCTTTAAGAAGGCTTTGATAAGAAACTTTCAAAAGTGAATTCTCTGGTATAGCATAAGATATCTCTGTTCTTGACTTCCTGAAGCAACAAAGATATAAAACGCACAGTGCCAAAATTACTCCTAGAAGGCCACAAGACAATGGCACTAGTAATTTAACGATTAAAGTTGACCTACTTTTCTTCAATTCTTTGAAGTTGCATTTAGGCAATTTCAATTCAAGGACACCCCCACATAACTTAGGATTTCTCATAAGGAAAGTTGCACTCGCATTCTTGAAGATGCCTTTGATTGGTACCACACCATCAAAATCATTAAAGGATAGGTTTAATTTCTTCAGCTGAAAGCCTGTCAGATATTCAGGAATTTTTCCTGACAAATTGTTGCGTGAAAGATCTAATTCTTGAATACCTTTCAAGAAACTTAAAGTTGAAGGCATAGACCCTTGGAAGGAGTTGCCTTGCATGTAGAGGAATTCCAACATTACACAACTACCAAGTGTGCTAGGAATTTCACCCGATAACATGTTCTCAGAAACATCCAGGGCATTTAAATTTTTCAAGTTTCCAACCTCCAAGGGAGAGATCCACTCAAATGGTTTCGAGACAAGTTTAGATTCACTGATAAGGATGACAGACCAATAACCTGATGGGGTATGGTGCCAGTAAGATTGTTATCAGATAGATCCAGTAGTAGTAAACTCTGGATTTTTTCCAGACTTGAAGGGATACTACCCTGAAAGTTGTTTCCACTTAAATCAACTTCGAGTAAAAGGCTTAAATTTCCAATAGAGAACGGAATAAAACCATCAAATCTGTTTCTTCCAAAATTCCATCGATTTAGATTCTGAAGTTTGCAAATATCTGTTGGAATGTTACCTGTGAGTTGGTTGCCTGACATGGATAGAGAATTCAAGCTAATGAGATTTCCTATGCCAGTTGAGATGCTTCCAAGTATATAATTCTCGCTAAAACTGAATAATTCGAGTACCGTTGACAAGTTGTTGATGGATTCAGGAAGTTTGCCACCAAACTTATTAATGTCCATAGTCAACGCTCTTAACTCCGTGGCATTTGTCAGAGAAGAGAGAAAGTGTAAGTCGTCAGGTCCACCACTTCCAAGACTATTATTGTCAAACAATGCAACCCCAAGCTTATATAGGTTTCCCATGGTAGGCACTTTTCCTGTAAAATTGTTGTCATCAATTTGTAAAACTTCCAGGTTCGAGGCATTGGCTATTGAATTAGGGATTGACCCAATAAATTGGTTATCACTAAAGCCAAGAAATTGAATATTTGGAAGTGTGATGCCTATATTTGAGGGAAGGCTGCCATGGATGTTATTTGCCCCCACGTCAAGAACTGCTAGAGAAGAGAGATTGAAGATTGAGGGAGGGATAGTACCAGACAACATATTTAAGCTAATTGCAATTGTTGTTAGATTGGTCAGTTGGCCAAGACCGTCGGGGATATGCCCACCAAAATTATTTCCAGTTGCATAAAGCATCTTAAGAGATGTTAAGTTCATGAAGGAATGAGGGATATCGCCAGTTAGATCATTGAAAGCCATATAAAAAATTTTGAGCTTGGACAACAAGCCTAGCTCTGCAGGAATTGCCCCTCCCAGTTTGTTGCGATAAACATAGAATTCAAGAAGATTAGAGCATCTAGATAAATTGGCAGATATTTTGCCACTAAAGGAGTTATATTGTAGCATTAAAATTTCCAATCTGGGCAAGCGTCCAAGTTCAGGGGGGATTTCATGAACAAAACTGTTGTTCTGAAGATCGAGTTTTCTAAGAAAACTTAGATTCCCGATTTGTGGGGGTATTGACCCAGTCAATTTCTTGGATCCTAGGTCCAACATGGTGACCCTTTGGTGGCGCCTGCCACATGTAACTCCTTGCCATTCGCAGAAGTGGATCGATGCATTCCATGTGCTCAATACTTGAAATGGATCATCAATGATGTTGGCCTTGAATGCAAGCAAAGCAAGTTGATCTGTGTCATTCCCTCGCATCCTAGAAGCACCTACCATTGTTGGGAACCTTGGGTGCAGAAAGCTCAAGCAACCTACAAGTATGACATAACTGAAAAGTGACCAGGCTATGTTTAAGCTTAAGCATGAAAACCTCACTGAATGTGAAGAATATTTATTGTCCCTGTAGTCCATATCAAGGAAAAATGGTTTTTCCAGTGCACCTCCTGGCAGACAAAGAAGTTAGAAATCATGAGCAACTAATGTAAGACCCAGGTATTTAAGGTAACCATTCAAGAACTTGGAAAAAACTAACAATATTTGAGGTTGTAGTTGTTACCTGGATTTAAATTTTGAGAATCCGAGTACCTCTTTTTTCTCCGAATTTATTGTGGAAGAAAGGTAAAAAGACTTCAGAGAACTTCTAGCTGTGATCTCTCAAAATTGGATTTTTGACATGGTAGGCTTTTCTTAGAAATTACGAACAGCAAATTATGAGCTCACATATGAATGATAGAACACCTCATTAGCGTCCCATCCTTTGAAAAAAGAAAAAGGTCCTCTAGACTCCTCTCTTGGAAGCTGCTAAGGCAAATCCTTTGCTTCTTGCCCCCTGCTACATGGTAAATACATTCATGACTAAAGCCCCTTAGCCTATAACAACCACGTCAACTGGAATGTTTTGAAAGAAAAAAAAAACCAACTTGGTTATTTGTTAGAATTTTTTTCTCACAATTTGGTGGTAGTTGTAGGGTGGATTCCATACAGCACATGTTCACATCAATTGATGTATGATGCATTCATTAAACTTGTCCAACCTCGGACCCAAGTCCTGCAAGTTGACTGTGGAAAAAGATCTCTAACCTAAAACATCTCTTGAATTCTTCTGTATTTGTATGTGTTTATTAATTGTTGATTTTTTTGGGTAATTTGGTGACAAGTTCACGCGCTAGACATATTTGGCCAAGAAGTCCAGACGATATGAATTTAGTCACATTTGTCCTTTTTGTTCAACCCTCATTCTGGTATATTCCCATAAACCCGTCTCCCACGTCAACATAATTCTACAGAAACGTTATCAACAAAGTCGTCTTCACCTACAACACCTTCAATTTTGCCACCACCTCTACTTTAATTCTGATGGTTTAGAAAATCGAGAAGTGAGGTTGATGATCTAGTAGAGCTCTAAACGAGGTGCACTGTGTGCGTGTGCAAAAATAGGGATAGAATGCATAAGAACTTTAGTGGTTCACACTGCTGAACAACTGGGTTAGTTTACTGTAATGACGTCTCTCGCTCGTTAGAGGTGTATTTCTTGATGAAGAAGATGATTACAATAGGGTGTTCTCTTGCGATTTCGATTAGAGTAGTGCTGTTTAGTCATAAAAATCTGACATAATTTGTTGATCTAATAATATAATTTCATTGTAACTATTAGATTAACATTCAGTTCCAACATTTGATGGACCTACAGTCAATCAATGATTGTAATGAATTAGGCTAATAAATTAAGTTTTAATAGTATTGCTCTTTCAATTATATATAATCGCATGTTCATATACATCTTGTACCTATTAAATACCCGTCATTGAAACAATTACCACAACCCAAAAAAATAATATGTACCGTAGTTTCAAACGAAAAGCCATGGAAATGATAACCACCTTCACTAATTTTTCTTTCTTGCCACATAAAATCATTATCAACTTAAGGATTTGATAATGAAGCAATGCTACATGGACTGTATTAGATCGTGACGTTATTGTATTATAACTTACGTTATGTTGACTTTGACAAGAACAAGGAGGCATGACAAATGTCCTAATTCAATTGAGAATATTTGTGACCTTTAAAAATTAGCCATCACAAAACAATATAATATTTTAGGGTACCACTCCATACCCAATTGCTATCTCGGAATAGTCTTGTACCCAAAAAAACAAAATTTTAAAAAATAATCAGCAACAACTGCAGGCCTCTTCTGGCTGCTATGCAAAATGTCAAATACTAAATTGCCAAAGCATACCGTATAGTTTTTTCTCCTTTCTCCTTTGTTTCTAGATGAATAAAACAAGTTTGATCGTCTAGCAATGGGTCTAATGGGTAAGAACTCGGATATTCACGCCCAATAGTTGGAGTTGAGTCTCTGTAGATGCAACAATTTGATAGGACTAAACCTACTCTTCAAGTTCAAAGAATATAGTGAGACTTTAATTTTGACTCCGACGTAAGTGCGATGAAATTTTTTACAGATAGTTCTGTGGTTCTGAAAAGCAATGCTTGTGAATATATAAAAAGTTAAACAATTATTTTCTCCAAAAATTTAAATTATTAGAGAGAGTGTAATTTTAATAATTATATTTCAAAATGAGAAGAGGGTAATTTATCTGCATATCCAATTTTTTCAAGATATGTAGAATACAACAGGTTTGACGCAGACAAGAGACCTGCGGGTTTCACACTGGCAGCAACATCGCAGTTGAGTTGTCACAACATTTGTTGCTCTATGGGTTCCTTAAGACCATAGCATCCACCAAAACTAAAATAGCTTCGTACAAAAACTTCGGAACAGGACAGAAACAATCACACATAATGTAAAGTATCAGGGATTTTTTTTTAAAAAAAATGGTGTTTAAGTTTGTGCCGATTATTTTTTCGAGCTAATTTAAGGACATGTCTCCTAAAAAATAAGGGTGGTTGGTCCATATGATATATAAGAAATATCGAACCTGAGACCCTTTATTTACAAGAGGATAGACTTGACTATTAAACCACCTCTAAAAAATTAAGAGTACCGGGGATTACCTTGCCTTTAACTGGACTTCATAACTTGGTCTTGCATTTGGGAAATCATTGATGCTATTGATATATAATTTAGAGACTTAATACATTGTACCAATAACATTGTTCTTTGGTAAATTGGAAGTGTTAGGGAGGACAATGGGTTAAAGCCCAAGTGGTTAAAATGCAGGTAAAATATATTTTTAATCCCTTAGGATTTGTTTGATGACGTTTACGGTTTTTAATTTTCTAAAAAATGAAAAACAGAATAAAAAAATAAAAAACGTCTTTTTCTCGTTTTTGAAAACCGCCGCTCGTTTACAAAATGATAACAAAAAAAAAATGGTTATCAAACGAGTTTTTTTATCTTGTTTTCTCTAAATATCAAAATAAAAACAAAAACAAAAAACGAAAAACATAAACGTTACCAAACGGGACCTTAACTATGCATTTTGTGTTAATTTGGTTCCCAATTTTTTAATTATGTCAATTTAATCTCTCAACTTCTCAATTTAGGGAAAGGCAATGGTACTGAAGGTATTGTACCAAAATTTACAAATATTTAACGTTAAATTACAACTTTTTAAAGGTGTAAGTTATAATTTTTAAAAGTCATGATCGATCATGATAGATTGAGATTGACAACGAAATTACAACTTTTAAAAGTCAAGTTACAATTCATAAGGGAGAAGTTACAACTGCTCAGAAGAAATTCATGATCGATCATATATATTTGTGATCGATCATGGTCCCCTTGATCGATCATGGACTTCCCCTAAACAATTGTAATTTTTTTCTTTTCAGTTATAACTTTACTATAAAAATAATAAGTGGCAATATGGTACCAAAGGCGGTACCGTGGACTTTCCCTCAATTTATATCAGCTTGTTCCAATCGAAAACGACAACTTGAATTGACTAACAAAGAGATTCACGTGACACAAGAGGCAGTCACTTTTGTCTCTCAAATTTATAACTTGTATCATTTTAATCATTCAAGTTGATAGTTTGCGTCACTTCAGTCTCTAAAATTTTGAAAGAATTTGCCTCAATGTGATCACATAAGATGCACATACGGTCTCCATTAATAAATCTCAACTGTTATTTTTGATTGACCAAAGTGACATACATTGAAAAATTAAGAGACCAAATTAACATAATTAAAAGATTGAGGACCACACCGACACAAAACACAAAATTTAGATATCAAAAAAGTATTTTACCCCTAACATTTTGTTAACATTTCAATGGGCAACGAATTTGCTTCTTCAACGAATAGATATATATCGGGTTGTTTTAAATCTTACTCTTCACTTAGTTTAGCCCAAGACATTGTATCAGCTCTCGCCTTCCATTTTTCTCAAAAAATTCGAGAGTATTTCCTTCAAGGCTCCCCTACACCAGATTCCCACTCTAGTCGTGGCCACAACGTCTAATCTGATCAAAACGAAGAACCAAATAGCATACCCATTAAATTGGCAGATTAAACAAAGTTATCATGATATATTATTGGGTTTATAGTACTTTTGGTTCTTAAATATATTTTTTTGTCAGTTTATTTCTTATTATATTAATTTTGTCAATTTGATCATTAAAGTATTCAATTCGTGTCAATTTGGTCCCTACATAGACGGACTGTTAAGTTTTTTAACAGAATGATTACGTGATACCGTCAAAAAAAATAATACGTGATCACTTCCATAAAAAACTAACCGGTTTGTCTATGTATGGATCAAATTGACACGAATTAAATATTTTAAGACCTAAATTAATAAAATTGATACAATGCAGACTAAACTGACAAAAATATATAATTTAGGGACTAATTAACGCTATATTATATTATCGCTATATTATATTATCTACCACAAACGCTATATTATATTATATTATCTACCAATCAAACCAACAATTCAGAATGAGATAATAAAGAACATAATTTTTAAAATAAAAGTCTTTATTGGTGGGTTTATTTTTGAAAAAAAATTTGTGACTTGTGAGAGAATTGGAAATGTGTGAAATAAAATATGCTTGAAAGATTACTAATTCAAAGTTTTTATGCACAAATAGTTTCTCTCCGTCCACTTTCATGATGAATGGAGTGGAAACGAGCTGATTGAGACCCTTAGCTCTAAGTTTTAGGTTTTTTTAATTCTTAAGTGTTTAATTTTCTAGTTTTTCGTCAAACTCTCAACTCGGGTTTGAAACAAGATGCAGTATTTTCCTACAAATTTCTATGCCCAAATACTTTCTCCCCATTTGTTAACGGACTAGAAACGA